ACTCTAAGATCCTAGATTGGAAGCTGTTCCTCACTTCACACTCACCCTCCCAGGTCAGCGAGATGGTGAAGAAGCTGCACGCGGCAACACCACCAACGTTCGGAGTGGACCTCATCAATGAACTTGTGGAGAACTTTGGCAGATGTCCCAAGTGGTCTGGTCGGCAAGCCTTTGTCTTTGTCTGCCAGGTAAGCGAGGCCCTGGGCTTACCTGTTTGTGAGTTTTTCTCCTAGAAGAATGTCTTCTTTGACTTCCTACCTCTCTCTCATCCTCTTCCTTATTCTTAAGAAACAGAACCTTACGGTAGCCTGGCTGTTTCTAGGATCACCTGTCCCCATTGTTGGGCATCTGCTGGCCCCTCCCTCCCAGCCAGCCAAGCCCCTTCTTCACTGGCACGCACCACACACACCCCACGTGCCTGCTGTACATGCATGTTCCACACCACACACCATATGCCTGGAATGTGCGTGTTCTGCTCTACACACATTCAGACGTGTGCATGTGTACATTTGACAGTGCACATACATGCGTGTTCCTCACTGCATATTATACAGGCATACATACATGTACCACACCACACACATACTGTGCACACATATACCATACCACGGTTCCCACTAGAGGGTGCTCATGCCTGGGACCCAGAGCACAGGTGTGAAATGAAAGTGTGAATGAACGCTCTAGGTCTCCGTAGAGCAGTTTAAAACCTGTCTGTCCATGTGGGCAGTTAATTATGTAATTTTTTATTTGAGTTCCCAAGTACCTGGAATTTTGGTTAAAAAGCAGTAAGTAAAATTTGTGCCTGTGGTCACTCAGAGATTTTGTTGGCCAGCAGACGAGTTTTTGGCTGCATTGACAAAGAAGCCTAGAGCAGCTGTTTCTTTTCCCCAGACTGTCATTGAGGATGACTGCCTTCCCATGGACCAGTTTGCTGTGCATCTGATGCCGCATCTGCTGACCTTAGCAAATGACAGGGTTCCTAACGTGCGAGTGCTGCTTGCAAAGACCTTAAGGCAAACTCTGCTAGAAAAAGGTAGGTAGTGACTCTACTAGGAGAAGCGTGTGAGTAGAGAGGGAGGTCTGTCGACTGCGCTGATCAACAGATACCAAAGCAGAAGTATTGTCTGCTCAGAGAAAATAATCTGGTGGAAGGAAATATTTTAGTTGTTCTGGTGGTTCTCCCAAGAGGGCATGGAAGATGAAAGGAGTTTTTTAGCCCTCTACTGTTCAAGTTGGAGTTTATCGTAGGCATGGATCATTTTTATCATTTAAAACTTAGCTTTTTTGTTTGCTTGATTTTTTGAGACTGAGTCTCATTCTGTCACCCAGACTTGAGTGCAGTGGTGCGATCTCAGCTCACTGCACCCTCTGCCTCCCATGTTCAAGCAACTCTTCTGCCTCAGCCTCCCCAATAGCTGGGATTACAGGTGCCTGCCACCACACCCAGCTAACTTTTTATCTTTTTAGTAGAGACGGGGTTTCACCATGTTGGCCATGTTGGCCAGGCTGGTCTCGAACTCCTGACCTCATGTGATCTGCCTGCCTCAGCCTCCCAAAGTGCTGGGATTACAGGCATGACCCACCGTGCCTGACCTAAAACTTAGTTTTTAAAATTGGGTATTCGTTCTCTTTATGTGCAAACCATTGGCTGGCAGCATGCCACTTGCAATCTTGCAGTCTTCAGTATGGAGGCTGGTACCTGTGTTTGCTCTCCCTCCTTCTCTTCATTAAGCAAGAGACAGATGCCCCGTAGTATTTGTTTTGTTGGAAATTATAATCTCTTCAAGATTAAAGGTGGTTTATTTTATTTAATCGACCCCCACCCCGCCTGCCACCCAAACACCTCACCAATATAGTTGCATGGATGAATGAAGCACAGAAAGAAATTTGTAGTAGACGTCAAAGAATAAGGATAAATGAATATTGCTGCTTTTTTTCCTCCTTTTTTTTTTTTTTTTTTGTAGTTGGTGTTTGGAAGCGTTTTTCTTTGACTGCTACTTAATAGCTAAGAAGTGTGATGTTTTCATTTATTTATTTATTTATTTAATAATTTAATTATTCCTTAGCTGTCATTGAATATCATGAGATTTAGTCTTATAAAAACAAGATAAATCTCATAACTCTTTTTATTGTGGCACTTTTTCTTCCTATAACAAATCAGGTTGGATTACTGTTTATGTTTCAGTGTGGCTTCTGTTTGTACTTGTAGAAATACCCAGTTTAACTGTTTATACTCGTACTTGACGGAACTCTGAAATGTTCCGTTGGACTGGTTTCATCTGTCCTGTGCACGTGTCATTTCCAGACTATTTCTTGGCCTCTGCCAGCTGCCACCAGGAGGCTGTGGAGCAGACCATCATGGCTCTTCAGATGGACCGGGACAGCGATGTCAAGTATTTTGCAAGCATCCACCCTGCCAGTACCAAAATCTCTGAAGATGCCATGAGCACAGCGTCCTCAACCTACTAGAAGGCTTGAATCTCGGTGTCTCTCCTGCTTCCGTGGGAGCCGAGGTTCAGTGGGCGTTCCGCACGTATGTGACCTGGGATAGCTTTCGGGGGAGGAGCGACTTCCCTCTCCTGCAGGCTTCACTGCAGGTGCAAGTTGCCTATACCCAATGCCAGGGATTTTAAGAGTCAAGAGAAAGTACAGTAAACACTATTATCTTATCTTGACTTTAAGGGGAAATAATTTCTCAGAGGATTATAATTGTCACCGAAGCCTTAAATCCTTCCGTCTTCCTGACTGAATGAAACTTGAATTGGCAGAGCATTTTCCTTATGGAAGGGATGAGATTCCCAGAGACCTGCATTGCTTTCTCCTGGTTTTATTTAACAGCCGACAAATGAAATTCTTACAGCCTGAAGGCACACGTTTGCCCAGATGTGAAAGAGACCTTCAGTATCAGCCCTGACTCTTCTCTCCCAGGCACAAGGACTTGCTGGGCTGTGTGACCAGCTGTCCAGCCCAGCCCTGTGTGTGAATCATTTCTGATGTGTGTAAATGGGAAAGGAGGGTTTTTTACTTCCCCTGAGGGCTTGATGCTAACACAAAAGTAGGATTGACTTTAACTCTTAAGCGCAGCATATTGCTGCCACATTTACAGAATGGTTGCTGAGTGTCTGTGTCTGATTTCTTCATGCTGGTCATGACCTGAAGGAAATTTATTAGACGTATAATGTATGTCTGGTGTTTTTAACTTGATCATGATCAGCTCAGAGGTGCAACTTCTTCACATACTGTACATACCTGTGACCACTCTTGGGAGTGCTGCAGTCTTTAATCATGCTGTTTAAACTGTTGTGGCACAAGTTCTCTTGTCCAAATAAAATTTATTAATAAGATCTATAGAGAGAGATATATACACTTTTGATTGTTTTCTAGATGTCTACCAATAAATGCAATTTGTGACCTGTATTAATGATTTAGTTTAAAGTGGGGAAACTAGATTAAAATACTTGTCTTTTAACTAGTTTATTAGTTTCTCTGGAATCTGCCTGTGTCCCCGGGGTTGGGTCTTGCTCTTGGCGGCAGCAGGTGCCTCTTGGGTGCTCCTCCTGCTCCTGCCTACAGCCCTAAGGGCAGGTGGGTGCCGAGTGTCTGGCACAGCTTGGACACCCCCCCCCACCGCCCGAAGACAGTGGGTGGGCAGTGGGGGGGGTTGTCTTGAAGCTCCTGAGACACAATCAAGCATCTCTGAGCCTCGATTTCTTCGTCAGTAAAATGGGAATTAGTAAAACCTACCGTTTCTCACAAGGTTGTTTTGCAGGCAAATGAGGTCCTCTGTGAAGGTGGTTTTGTAAAGTGCTGCGTGTATAAATGTGCGATGTTCCTGTAAGCCTGGTTTGAAAACCTTGGCCTGTCTGAGTCCCCTGGTGCTTCTGTGAGTTTTGGTTTTATTTAGTTAGCCGGCGGGGGGACTCCTCAGTAAGTCAAAATAAGTTCCTTTGAACTTCAGTGTGGGATTTGAGAATACATGGGCTGCTTCCTGTCTACACTATTACAAATAAGCCTTTGGCTGCTGCTTCTCACATTATAACCCAGATATTTACACACTGCGGATATAAGTGTGAACAGATTTCACTGGGAAGGATGTTCAAATAAATAGATAAATGCATAGGTAATATGTGAAGTGGGTCATGGGGGCAGGGCTGGGGAGTAGCTGTGGAGGGTGTGGGGTGGTCTCCGAAGGCCTCTGAAAGCATCAGAGCAGAAACTGGAGGAGGACCTGGCCCCTTGATACAGCCTCATGTGTGAGCTGCAGATTGTCTGCTATTACATACTTTTGGCCCCCAGTATTTCAGTTCTGTAAACTGCATTAGAATCATACACTAGTAGCAGCATTTTTTTTAAAGCAGTGGCTATGCTAACATGGTATATTTGGGGGTAAAGAACTTGAATTTGGCACTGTCCCTGCTCCACAAAAAAGCCCCTGTATGTGCCATTTAAGGGCCTTTCTGCCCCCTCCTCTGCCCAGGCTTGCTATCACATCTCCTGGGTCTCCTGGGCTGTAGTCTAGAACATTCCAGGGGCACTGCCCACCTTCCCTAAAAGCTGTAGGATCTTACACTGAAGGCTTTGCCTGCTAACTGACTCTGGCTTTTCCTTCTATCCCTTGTGAGAATCATGGGCCAGGGCTGAGGCTGCAGACATGGAATTGGGCGCGTTGTCTCCGTGGAGAGCTCCAGAATGCCAAGGCTGCATCTTTCTCCGCCTGGCTGGACACAGAAGGTGTGTTTGTTCTTAAGATTTCCTAACACATAACAAGCAGTGTGCTCTTCACAGAAACAGCTGCAGTGAAAAAAAAAAGACCACGCTGCACTAGAGCCCATCTCGGGAGGTGACCTCAGGCCTCACACCTCAGTACCTCCAGATTCCCAATGCTAAATGTACCTCATCCGGGCGTCTGAGACTTTCCATCAAGGAGAATTTAGCTATATGAATGTAACATTATAGATTTAACTACACAAAACAGAAGACAGAGAAGTCAGCTGTTTGTCTAAGCTTTCAATGACAGATACTTTAATTGTGGAATTTTTAAAGCAAAAAAAAGCAATGGAAACTTCATTTTTATTCTAGACCAGTCTATCCCAGACATGCTAATTATGGTTGGCTGTGCTGAGTCCTCATTTACCGTGTGAAATGCAAATGTCTGTAAATGGCAATGCCTGGGGCCAAGCCAGGCCAGCGGACTTGTATGCAGTTCCCACCGGGGCCAGGAGCTGCTCAGTCCGCAGACCCAACCCAGTCCGCTGGGTTTTGCAAACACACACAGGCTCCCTCTGCAGCAGCGTGGGCTCGTGGAAGGGAGGCGCGCCGCAGCCAGCATGCATGCCAGGGGTCCGGGGTTCTCCCCGTGTCTGCAGAGGTGAGGGGTGCAGCTCAAAGAGGTGAGCTGAAAACAAAACACTGTGTCCCCCCTTGGCCTTGAAGAAGTGCCTCAGCCACCTCCTCACCAGCGGCAGAGTACTCAATCTCCTCACAGAAAGAATGGATACAAAACCACTAGAAGCTTTTCTTTTTCCCAAATGGCTGTTGAATTTATTTGCTTGATCGATAATGGTCCTGGCAAAAATTAGTTAACCAATGCTGAGACATTTGTAATGAAATACTAATTTTAAAAATCCATGACACCTTGATAGAAATTAGAGTTTACACAAACAAAAAAGGAACCTTCGATATTGCCAGCAGCTACAAAGTGAATGTACTGAGACCGACAGGACAGCAAGAAGGCATTTGCACATTTATATCTGACACCCGACCATACTTTCAGTCACCAGAATATCTTCTCTCCAGATTTAAAAAAATAGTATGCTGATTTCTATAACAAAGCTTTTTTCCGTACAAAAATCAAATAATGGCCAACGAGTCACAACAGTGCAATAGGTAGAGGATTAAAAACTGCATCAAACAGGTGCTGAAAATAAATACTACCTAGGAGGAGGAGGAGAGAGCCCTCGTGTGGGGTTTGTTTTCGTCCCCTTGAGTGTGTGTGGGGTTTGTCTTCCGAGCCACGAGCCTGGCCTGTCTCACGGTGCTATTCACTCTGACAGAGTGCACCTGCAGCACGTGCCTCCAGGGCCCGGCCTCCCAGAAGCCTCAGAGCATCAGAGCATCCGTCTCATGTCTCATTGGATGGACCAGAGACAAGAAAATAGGGTGGGGCGAATCACAGTTACCATTCAAAGGAAAGGAATTTTTTTCTATTGCTCAATCTTGTCAATTGGGAGTCAGTCCACCAGTAGGTTCACTGAGACGATATGGATAATTTCAAACTTTTGTTTAAGAGCATATATATGGCTTATTCAGGCAAGGAGACGTGTACATTCTAGCCCAAGCAAGCAATCAGAGTCATTCAGTTTTTAAGGAAGGTCAGTCGTTTAAAAGATTTCTGGTTTGAGCAACATCCTCTGTGGATGCACCAGGCCAAGGTGACTACCTTTGACCAACCCAGTGAGAAGGCCTTTGCTGGTCCCCGCAGTGAGGAACCCGCGGGAACAGGCGGCCTCCTCCCCGCAGGCCTGTGCTGCCCAGGGCGGGTGGGCAGGCTCCACAGGCAGCCCGTCTGTGGCCAGATAGGCCGTCCTGGTGACTCGGGCTTATGGACTGCGGTTTACAACTGCAGGAGACAGGAGGGTGGACCAGGGAACACCCACCAGGCGCTGCTCTGACCAGTCAGAGAACATGAGGCAGCTCCCCCATAGGGATCTGCACCGAGAAGGTGTGGAAGGCACAAGCAAGAGTGACGGTACCAGAGATCCCGGAGGGCGTGGCTCGCGGCGGCCACAGCAGGCGCAGCGCTGACCTGGTGTGGTTCCCCCCTTGAATGAGAAAGAGATCCTGATTCTGCTGTGATAAAAAAGCAAAGAAAGACGATTTTTGGTTTAAAAAGAAGCCACTCAAGGGTTAAAATAGTTATTTTAAGTTAACAAAGAAAATTAATCTTCAAATAAGCTGACACTATCTGGAAAACTCATCTGTCCCTAAAGCCCACAATGTGTCCACTGCTTCGTCCTCCCATGGAACCTGAGCCTGACGCGAAGGAGTCAGACGTGTGACAGAGGAAGAGTCTGAGAAGAGAAGACACCTTTACAGAATGTACAGCGGGAGAGCCGGCCTGGCCCCCGGGTTACAGTAAGATGCACGGGTCCTTTCAGTCTCGCGGACTCCAGACGGCCGCGCAGGCTGCTCAGATGGACGTCTCCTTCCTGTCCCTGCTGGGCGATGGCTTCGCCGGCTCCTTGCCTGCCTTTGGCTGCTCTTTAGCTGCTTTCAGCTCGAGGACGCCGTCTCTGGGCGGCTGGACGGCACCCCCGCGCCACTCAGGCTCCTGGTCCTCCTGTGCCTGCTGCTCGGCCTTGGCCCGCTGCATCTGGAGCAGCCGCAGCTGCACTCGCAGCTCGATGATCGCCTCGCGCTCCTCATGAATTGCTTGATTCAAATGATTGTTCTTTATCTTGGGGAATGACAGAAAGGGCAGTTACCACTTAAGGAAGTCAGAGGACGATTTCTCAGGAGCAGAGCGCAGTTAGCAAGGGCGTCCTACAGAGGAACCTGGTTTTAAGTCAGTGGGTTGTGAAACAGAAGACACACACAGGGAGAATGCACAGTGCACAGTGAGGGCCACGTGACTCCTCAGAATGTGAGGCTGGAAACCCCGCTCCTGGTTACTGGAGGGAGACACATCCATGTGCCAACTGAAACCCGTCATTTTAATAATTCAGTGTCCTAGTGTTTAAAATAGACAACTCATAACTTCGAACTGGCTTCTGAACAGCCCTTAAGGAGAAAATAAAAGTAATTTTAGCAGCAATTAGAAAGGGGAGTTAGAGATCAGATAAAAAACTAGATTTGTTTCAAAGGTGAATATCCTTTGTCTTTTGTGAATGGCATTACTGTAATTCTGAAATGTCCTACTCAATCAAACTATAGAAAATTAATATCAATTCTAAATCATCTGGACATACTCGGCAGAGTTTAGGTACCGCGGAATAGCAGCGGCCCTGCCCGCCATGGCCTCCACTCTGTGGCGGGTGCCAGCTTCCCTTGCTTGGGTGTGGCATGGACTAGGCTCTGCAAAAGGGGTGTAGACATAAGCACAAGCACTGAGTGCCACGCGTGCACCCTGTCCTTGGCCACTGGGCATGCCTTCTCCCTTCCCTGCTAACTTAGTCCTGCTAGGAGTGGCAAGACAGAGCAGCCACGTTGGACCCCACGTGGAAAAAACTGGTGTGGAGGATGATGGGCTGGACCACCTGCCACACAAGAGACACCATCTTGTTTAGACCACTATGTTATTCTCTTTATTACAGCAATTCAGCCTACACTCCAAGTACAATACTTCTGGATTCTGTTTTCCTACTCAGAGTCAGTGGCTGTGTGTGGAATTCTGCTTTTCTATGCAGGGGGTAGTTCTGGTTCGCACCAGCCACTGAGCCAACCCAAATGAGGGACACAGAGCTGTCCCTCTGTCCTTAGATTCCTTTCTATGAAAAGGATGTCTTCTCTCAATCCTTAGGCAAAATATCTGGACACAATCTTTTATTTGGGGTAAGAAGGGAAATTGTGATCTAGACCTTTCTCTCTGCCGCCTTCTCTTCACTGTGCAGCCTCTCCTGGTTTCTTAGCACCGATTCCCTCTCACCTGCTGCTTCTCGGGCTAAGGACAAGAGAAACTGTCTTGCTTCACCCACAGGGAGACTCGGGAGACTGTTCCTTCCATCACTAGCGCAGATTTTCCTGTTCACCTTCTCTGGGAACAGAGACTAGGTCATTCAAAGCTGCTCAGGTTGGCACAGTCAGGTGAGGCCTGCCTTTACATCGGTTGGAGAAGGTTCTACGTGTCATACTAAAGTCACGGAACGCCACTTCACAGCCTGAGGAAGACACACAGGTGCCATCTGCTTGGCCAGCACTTAGCTACAGACTAATGTCCTACAGACTCTCAGTGAGATGTCCCCCTAAATTCCTCTCTACTCAGCCTTCCAGCTGGTGACCGAGAAAAAGAAGGACAATTCTGAGGGGAAATATGTGGTCTCTACAACTTTCTAAAAGTTAGTAAGCGTTTTGCCTATTTCCCCCAAAACTCACTTCCAGCTCTTCGTTCTGTCTCTGTAAGTCTTCCAGAATGATCTGCAGCTCCTCCTCATCCTCACTCTCGCTCTCGCTCTCGGAGGAGTACTCCTCAGTCTCACTTCGGCCATGCTGCTGGCGACTGCAAAGGCGAGAGACAAAGGAAGATGCTACTGGGCGTGCTGGTCTGTGACCTCCTTTTATATTTACGACGTTTTCATGACTCTACTCAATATAACACCATTCTTAAGACCTAATAAATAAGACACTTAAAGATGATTAACTTCACATGCCTTATTCTTTTGTAGGAAAGTCTGAGAGCTAAAACAATTATGGTTATATTTAAACAGTCTCAGAAGCTTCAAAACCTTGGCTTTCCTTTACCTCTGAATTTCGGCAATCTCAGCTCTGAGGCGTTCTATCTCTTCTTTTTCTGAGGCAATCTGCCGGCGCAGAAACTGCTCCATGGCCAGGAGCTCCTCCTGTTCAGTCAGGATCTCATTCTCCTGAAACAATGATCACTGGTGAACACCGCAGAGTTTCAGCCCAGGAAATGTCACTTGTTTGGGGTCTCCCATGTTGCCCTGAATTCTTGAGCCCCACTGAGTGCTGAACACAAGTTATGTCCTGCACAACCAAAAACATCCTATCTCATTAGGGTCAAGAAACGGCTTCTTGGAGAAAAGGTAAAGTTATTTTGGGGAAATGACTAGATTTTTCTCAATAACAAAATGCCACACAGGAACCCCATATCCTCCTCCTGCGAAGGCCCCTGTGAGGCCACCACACAGGGAGGAGCCAGGGCTTGAGGGATGAAACTGGCTTTGGCTTCCCACTCCTAATGCCTCCCCATGTCTCAGGAAAGCAGACATATGTAGGGCCATGGTGACCTCTGATGGGGTCACTAGGAAAAGAAGGATCCAAGAGATGTCTGGCTGGCGTCAGTGTCACCTTGAAGGCAGATCAGTGTGAAGGGAAGACCATCACAAAGTTTTCCACCTTTCCATAAGCCACCATCCTCTGTAAAGTCCTCAGGTTTTTTTTTTTTTTTTTGAGACAGAGTCTCACTCTGTCACCCAGGCTGGAGTGCAGTGGCGCAATCTAGGCTCACTCCAACCTTCGCCTCCCGGGTTCAAGTGATTCTCCCACCTCAGCCACTGAGTAGCTGGGACTACAGGCGCCTGCCATCACGCTTGGCTAATTTTTGTATTTTTAGTACAGACAGGGTTTCGCCATGTTGGCCAGGCTGGTCTCGAACTCCTGACCTCAGGTGATCCGCCCGCCTCAGCCTCCCAAAGTGCTAGGATTACAGACGTGAGCCACCGTGCCTGGCCCAAAGGTATTTAAATAATATTCTGCTTTACCAGAATATCCATTTCTAAGATTGTAAGATCATCAGTCTTATTAAAAGAATGGGGAAAAAATCACTATCTGCCCAAGATCTAGCGAGCCCCTCCGACCTAGAGAAAAGCAGCAAGGCAGACAAAACTTAGGAGAGTAGCGGAAGGTGGCTGTGGGGATGAGAAGCTGGGGACAAACGTTCTTTCCAGACGAGCAGGTGCTGAGAAGGTAACTACTCACCATGGTCACGTGCCAAAATGAACCACCCACAAACACCAACGGCGCTGGGAACCTCTCCCCTGGAGGCGAAGAGCACAGCACTGCCCAAATGCTTCTGAACACACAGATGTCTTTCCCGTGCCTCTGCACACCTACTAAAGCTAACCTTCCAGCCAACACCAGACCGAAGAACCCTGAAACAAAGGCATAACCTGGGACTTCCTGTGCCTCTGCACACCTACTAAAGCTAACCTTCCAACACACACCAGACCGAAGAACCCTGAAACAAAGGCATAACCTGGGACTTCCTGTACCTCTGCACACCTACTAAAGCTAACCTTCCAACCAACACCAGACCGAAGAACCCTGAAACAAAGGCATAACCTGGGACTTCATCCTCTCCTCAGGGAAAACAGTTGTGTGCTCCTGTGAGGCAAACAACACATGTGTCAGAGGTGACAGAGAAGGACTGAAACCTATTGGGCTTTAGGGAAACCACATGAGTTTCTGGAACCCCAGACACAATGTTGTCAGAGCCTAGAACTTCATTCCTTTCTGGTTAAACTCTGGCAATTTCCAGAACAAAGTGAGGCAGACTTGAGAAATACAGAAAGAAATGAGCTCATCTTCAGCTCTATGCCTGGAATACAGGAGGCACAAAAGGGATATTTGTTAAATCAGTGAAGGACTGATAAGACAATTTGCCTCCAACAATTGACTTTAACCTGCAAAGAATAAAATCAAAATATCTAAAAGGTGTTATTAGCAACAACTATTAGAAAAAATCTGTACCTAACATTTCAAGGATCCCAGACTTTGTAATGTTAGGAACAACGGTTTTTAAAATATTTTTAAAAGTCTGATCTCATTAATATGGAACAAGTACCACTAATCTGGAAATGAGGGAAAAGGCCGATAATTCAGACCTGTGTGTAGACCAAATGAGATTAAGCATCTAGAACAATGCCCAGCAAGGAGACATTAGTGAATATAAGGTCGTTTCTTTCGCCATAACCGAACATTTTAACAAACACAACATAAAGGAAGGGACAAATAAAACAGACACAGGCCCTCAAAATCACTTTATAATTTTGGTTAAAATATTCACATCTGTACTAGAGCTTCTCAAGTTATGTTTAAATGACCATTAAGAGCCTTGCAGGCCGGGCGCAGTGGCTCACGCCTGTAATCCCAGCACTTTGGGAGGCTGAGGCTGGTGGGTCACCTGAGGTCAGGAGTTCTAGACCAGCCTGGCCAACATGGTGAAACCCCGTCTCCACTAAAAACACAAAAATTAGCTGGGCGTGGTGGCAGGTGCCTGTGATCCCAGCTACTTGGGGGGCCAAGGCAGGAGAACCGCTTGAACCCGGGGGGCGGAGGCTGCACTGAGCTGAGACCCGCTTCGACGCACTCCAGCCTAGGGGACAACAGTGAGACTTCGTCTCAAAAACAAAAAAGAAAAAAAGAAAAATAGAAAAAGATTTTAGGTTACCTGAGCCAGGAGAATATTTATAACTTCTTCATTTTCATTCATCTCTTCTTTGGAAACATCCTCTTTTGAAAGACTGGCTATCTCTTGTGCAATCTTGGTTTCACACTCCTGTCAAGTGAGACAAATAAAAAAGAACTGCTCAGCCTATGTGTAACACAGATTCAACAAATTCACACGTTTCCTTCTCATTTCCTAGAATGGAAACAGTAACAGTCAGATGAACCATCTAGCTGGATGGGCATTTGGTAACTGGGCTTGGAATATAACATGGAAATCTTAGTCTGTGCCTGCACTGTCAAAAATACTCAATTCTGGTGAATGTACTTGCCGTTTCTGGTACTCTTCCACAGAAATTACCTATGTAATACTTAGGGAGCGTGTGGTCAGGAGTGTAAATCTTGAGCACAGAATTTAGCGTTCACAAACATAAGGAACCAGCACCACCATCATGCTCTAGAACATTTCCATCGCCAAAGTGCCCTTGGGCTCCTCCACCATCCGCCGACATCTGGCAGCCCCTGTCCTGGTCTCCATCGCTGCAGTTTTTCCTTTCCTTGAGTTTCATAATGGAATCAATCAGTAAGTAATGTGATTATCTGGCTTCTTTCACTTAGCACAATGCTTTTAAGATTCATCTACTTGGTTGTCTGTATCAGCAGTTGCTGAGCAATATGCCATGGAATAAATGTACGCCGATTTGTTTATCCATTCACCAACTGATGGACATTGGGGTTGCTTCTAGTTGTAAGCTATTGTAACTGGAGCTGCTAGGAACATTTCGCACGTGCCTTGTGAGGGCAAATGCTTTCTTCTCTTAGATAAATACCTAGGAGTGGGAAGGCTGGGTGCTATGGTAAGTAACAGTATGTTTAACTTTATAAGAAACTGCCAAGCTGTTTTTCAAAATGGCTACACCATTTTGCATTACCAAGAGCAACCTATTCTAGCTGATGTATACTGTTATCTCAGAGTACTTTTAATCTGTATTTCCTTAATGACTGATGATGGTGAGAGTCTTTGCATGTGCTTATTTGTCATCTATATATGATCTTTGGTAAAGTATTTGTTCAAATTTTTGCCTTTTAAAAATTGGTTGCTTTCTTATTAAACTGTAAACATCTTTTAAAAAAAAATTCAAATCCTTTATCAGACACAAGCTTTTTGCAAATATTTTGTCACAGCTTCTGGCTTGGATATTTATTTTCTTAATACCTTTTGAAGATCATGTTTTTAAATTTTTGATGAAATTCAATTTATCAAATTTTTCTTTTATAGTTTATAATAGGTTTTGTGTCCTATTTAGGAAATTACTGCCTAAGCCAAGGTCAGTAAGATCTTTTCCTGTTTTTTTTTCTTCTGGAAGCTTTTTTAGTGTTAGTTTATGATTCATTTCAAGCTATTTTTTGCGTATGTTGTATGGGTAAAGTTTTTCTTTTCTTTGCATCTGTTCCCGTGCTATTTGTTGAAAAGAATATCCCTTCCCCACTGAATTATTTTAGTATCTTCATTAAAAAGTAATTGCCCATATATGTGTAGGTCGACTTCTGAACTTTCTATTCTGTATGTGTATCCGTATCCAATACCTATGGTCTCAATTAACTGCAGCTTTGTAGCAAGTCTTGAAATCAGGTAGTATGAGTCCTCCAATCTTCCGGTTATGTTCTTCTTCAAAACTGTTTACCTATTCTAGGTCATTTGTATTTCCACATACATTTTAGAAGAGCTTATTCATTTTCACAAATACCATCTGTCTGGATTTTGATTGGGACTGGACCCACGGATCAGTTTGGGAAAACCTAACATCTTAATGATATTGAATCTTCTGTTCCACATGCATGATGTCTCTCTCCATTTATTTAGGTTTTTTTTTTTTTTTTGAGGTTTAATATCCCATTGTGCATTTCTAATATATAGATATACAGTAGACATTTGTGTATCTGATCTTGTAACCTACAACCTTGCTAAACTCACTGATTAGTTTTTCTTCTGTAGATTCCTTAGGATTTTATATGTAGATAATTGTTGGGGATAGGCCCCCACAATCTGGCCATAAACTGGCCCCAAAAGTGGCCATAAACAAAATCTCTGCAGCACTGTGACAGTTCGTAATGGACACGATGCCCTCGCTGAAGGTTGTGGGTTTACTGGAATGAGGGCAAGGAACACCTGGCCCACCCAGGGCGGAAAATCGCTTAAAGGGGTTCCTGAACCACAAACAATAGCATGAGCGATCTGTGCCTTAAGAACATGCTCCTGCTGCAGATAACTAGCCAGAGCCCATCCCTTTACTTCGGACCATCCCTTTATTTCCCATAAGGAATACTTGTAGTTAATCTATAATCTATAGAAACAATGCTTATCACTGGCTTGCTGTCAATAAATACGTGGGTAAATCTCTGTTCGAGGCTCTCAGCTCTGAAGGCTGTGAGACCCCTGATTTCCCACTCCACACCTCTATATTTCTCTGTGTGTGTCTTTAATTCCTCTACTGCCGCTGGGTTAGGGTCTCCCCGACTGAGCTGGTCTCGGCAGATAATCATGTTATCCAAGAATAAAAATTTATTTCTCTCCAATATGCATGTCTTTTTTCTTGCTTTACTGCACTGGCTAGAACATCCAGTACGATGCTGAATAGAGGTGGTAAGAGCAGAAATCCCTGCAGTGTACACCAATCTTAGGGTAAGCATTTAGTCTTTCACTATTAAGTATGATAACTGTAGATTCTTTGTAGATGTACTTCATCAGGATGAGAAAGTTATCTGCTGGGAGTTTTATCATGAATAAGTACTGAATTCTACCAAATCTTTTTCTGCATCTACTGATAATGATGTTGTGGGTTTTTCTTGTTTTTAGTCTGTTAATATAAGTTACTTCTTTCTTTAAAAGTCATTTGTTCCTCAAAGTTGAAATTTGGTAAAATCTAACATCTTAACGACATTGAATCTTCTGTACCACATACATGATTTATCTCTCCATTTATTTAGGTCTCTTTTTTTTTTTTTAGTTTCAGTATCTAATTGTGCATTGCTAATACATAAAAATACATTAGACTTTTGTGGAATCTTTTGTGCACTTTGTGAATTAATGAGCTGGCGTGAAAACACAGCATCGGGAAAATCGGTAAAGCAAAGTTAATCCATCCCTTCTTATATTGGCTCTGGCTGCTATATCATGATTCCTTTATCTGAGCGAGATGTAGAAGCAAGATAAACGAAAGCCAAACCTCCATCAGCCCTGTCCTAGGTCAGTCAGGGGACTCTTCATTTAAAGGCTGACTGGCAATGCCGTATGATTAACAATTACAATTTGCCCCTGAAGCCTGAGTGGTCCGTCTCTAATACCTAATTCTAGGCTGAGACATGAAGGGAAATTTTTAACAGCAACAACAACAACAAAAAACAGGTAAAGGAAGCAAGAGAGAGAGAACCTGGTGAGCTAGGGAAAGAAGGAAAACACGCAGAGGGCTTCCGCTAGATTCCATACCCCGGAGTGCCGTGGAAAAGTTCCACGAATGCGCCCGTCTCACAAAGCTATCCTCCACATGAATACAAATCTCTAACCTCAAAGAAACAGAAGGACTCAGGTTGCCTTTGTCTTTTTAACACAACCACAACAGAGACCTACTATCATGTTCCCCAATTCAGGCAAGGGCTAACTAATGATCCTTGGATGTGCTGTTTAGATGCTGCAGTGGATCTGCAATGTGGATTTTAAGGTGATCCAGAGATCTGGGATTTTACTGTTGCTGTGGCTGGTCCACTCACAGTCCCAGAACCAAGCAACACACACTAAACAAGAGGGAACTCAAAAGTCTGACTGGTGTACCCTAAACTCATCAGGTACTGCATGCCCCTCTTCTTCTTATTACATAAATAGAATCTCTCCTGATCTTCAGGACCTTCCAGGCAACCCTCATCACTACATTTCCAAAGAGCTGATACTAAATGCCTCAAATTCCAGCAGTCCCCGAAGGTGTGTCACCATCCAGCCTGCTTCTCATCTGCAGAAAGCCTTGTTTACAGGTATAACCGAGCAGGAAATGACAAATTTTTTAGTAAATTCATTTTTAATTAAAACAAAACTTTCTAGGCCAGGCATGGTGGCTTATGCCTATAATCCCAGCACTTTGGGAGGTGGGAGGACTGCTTGAGCCCAGAAGTTTGAGACCAGCCTGGGCAACATAACAAGACCCCATTTCTACAAGCAATAAAAAATCAGCTGAGCATGGTGGCACACACCTGTAGGCCCACCTACTCAGTACTCAGAAAGCTGAGGTAGGAGGATCCCTTGAGCCCAGGAGGTCGAGGCTACAGTGAACCATTATCATGCCATTGCACTCCAGCCTGGGTGACAGAGCGAGATCCTGTCTCAAAAAAAATAAAAAAAAGTTCTAGATTACATTGAAACATGTGACTGACACCAGGCTGCAATATCAATAATACAGGACTAGAAACATTTTAGTGAATAAATTTCCCACCAGAGAAGTTCACTTCAAGTGACATTATCTATAATATTCTTAAAAGAAAGAACTTGGGCTGGGCGTGGTGGCTCATGCCTGTAATCCCAGCACTTTGGGGGAGGCCGAGGTGGGAGGATTACTTGAGGCCAAGAGTTTGAGACCAGCCTGGTCAATATCAAAAGAAAAAGGAAAGAAAGAAAATACTTCAAAGAGCACATAAAGGACATAAAAGACTCCAACACGTTCTATTATAAACATTAGGTATCAAACTAGTAACCCACCTGTCTTTTAGCTTCTCTGAGTTTTCTTTTGAGGGCTGTCAAAATTCTTTGTACTTCCCATAATCTTTCTTCTTTAGACAAATCCTTTATCCCGCCCTGCAGATCTCGATGTAAACAATTCAAAAGAAACTCCTAGAAAGCAATGCCACACACTAAGTTGCATTCCATATCCTCTTATCTTAAACAACACATGCAATTTCTAAAGATGAAGAATCAACTATTTTTCAATTATCCTTTATTTCATTAGAGTAAAATAATGGCACTGATATGATTGAAAAATCATTCTTATTGTTTTGCCAATGAATTATTCGCTAATTTGTATTGGTTCAATAATACTTAACATCCCCATCTCCAATGTCATCATCATTAACTAGTAAGAACTGGGAGCTCACGGCAGACACAAGGGAGGAAAAGCAAGCAGAGGTTTGATAAAGTGCATGCAAATAAATAATCAAATGTAATTAACTTTCTTATTTAGTCTTGATTACACACACCCACACAAACACGGCATGGTTACTTCCATCAAAATAACATAGTAAAAACGCCCAGGATTTGGGCTCAACTCTTGGGTCTATAATAAATAATCATGTTACTTAACTTCCCCAAATTTTAATATTCTTATCTATAAAATATGGCTGATGACAGCAACCTTGTCCAGAAAAAGCAAACATTTTTAGACTATTTACAGCGTGCCTGGCCTGTTCCATGTATTGTCTCATTTGTGGCAAAATCTTCACACCAATCCTTGAAGAGGGCCCATTTTAAAGCAAGAACACCAGCGCTTAAGGTGGTTAAGAATTCGCCTAAAATCAGTTATAACTGAGAGCAGAGCAAGAATTTAAAGCCAGGTCTTTTGATTCCAAAAACTATGCTCTTTCCACCATGGTATTCCGACTTATTCAGCATGAAACAGTACCAGATGGGAATTTTTGACTTCAGTGTGCCTCACATAGCTCCAGACACACAGAAAGTGCTCAGGAAACAAGAGCCCATCACCACTGGACTCCACAATGGCCAATGCAGACGCAGGCTGTGGCAGGCAGGGTGCACACACCTGTCTCCTGATCTCCTCCTTGATGCCCGCCTGGGTCTCCGGCAGTGTGGGCATCGTGGCCATGTTAGACCATCGCAGAGGTTTCGTCACTTGCTTTAGTACCACATTTCCAAAGAGTTCTTGCACATGTGTGAAAAACACATACAGGACTCGATTGCTGATCTAAGAAAAAAAGATTTACAAGAAAACCATTAAAATTATCATTCTATTTCAGTTATTTGTGTCTAACATAATATATCCTTTAATCCTGGACACATAAAGAAAATTCTACCCAGTACTGACAACACAGTCTTTGCTAGTTAATGGTCAATTTAAGAAGAAAATGGTCAATTTAAGAAGAAAACTCATAAAATATGAGTTAAATCATGTATTCAAGCACCAGAAAGAATTGAAGAGGAAAAAAAAAAACCAAGAAAAGGATAGAGAAGCTGATGCCCATTCATTTGTTTTTTTTCTTTCTATCACTACAGTATTAACTGATTAAAACACCTTATGTTTTTTTGAGTATTGTTTTGTTTTTTTGCTTTGAGATGGAGTCTCGCTCTGTAGCCCAGGCTAGAGTACTGCGGCACAATCTCAGCTCACTGCAAGCTCCACCTCACGGGTTCAAGCGATTTTCCTGCCTCAGCGTCTCTGGTAAGCTGGGATTACAGGTGTGCGCCACCACGCCTGATTGATTTTTTTGTATTTTCAGTAGAGATGGGGTTTCACCATGTTGGCCAGGCTGGTCTCGAACTACTGACCTCAAATGATCTACCCACCTCAGCTTCCCAAAGTGCTGCGATTACAGGCATGAGCCACCATGCCCAGCTAAAACATCTTATGTTCTTTATTTTCAACTTACTTTCAGATATTTTAACAGCTACAATGGGCTGAATGAGGACCGTGAGGGAAGTGAGAGCACCACAGCAGTAAAACTGGGTTGAGGTTGAAAGCCCTCACTCCAGAAACAAATACCTGGACACAGCCAGCATTTAAGTGTGGATGTTCACATGCTAGGAGACCAGGGCATTAGGTTGGCTGAAAAGCTACTACAAGAAATTACTTCCTACCTAAAACTTACTCTTACAACACACTTGACTCTTCTATGATACAACCATCTCTATTATATTATAGTAATATTAAGTATCAATGTAATATTTACCAGATCCTGAAATCCTAATATGAGTGATCAAACTAAAATCTGAGAAACATTTTGCTTTCAAAGTGTAACCAATGAATAACAGAAGAGTATTTTTTAGAGATAGAATTTTGCTCTGTCACCCAGAGAGGAGTACAGTGGGATGATCATAGCTCACTGCTGGGCTCAAGCAATCCTCCTACCTCAGTCTGCCAAGTAACTAGGACTATACATACATGCTGCCACACCCAGCTAATTTTTTATTTTTTTGTAGAGACGGGGTCTTGCTATGTTGCGTAGGCTGCACTCCTGGCCTCTAGCTATCCTCCTGCCATAGCCTCCTGAAGTGCTCGCATTAAAGGTGTGAGCCACTGCCCGACTGAAAGACTCTTTAGTAAATAAAAAAACACTCTAATAACAGTGACAGTGATTTACGGTGACTCAGACTACTGGCCAAAAACAGGGCTTAAGATAATAAATATAACTTATCATCTCCCTTTTTATTGGCCTGAGTAAAATATCATTAACTCTAATTAAAAGAAAACATATACTCTATGACAGCACCAACTGAGCAGCAATAAAGGAAAGTCAAGTATATATGTCGTAAAAAGATACCAATTAACACACTGAAATCCTCAGGCTACATCTTCAACCAAACGAATTAACGTTAGGTCCCTTTGTGCCTGAGTTTGATGTGTGTCTGTGATATAATGAAGCAATAACGCTACTGATGAAATAACTGGCATCTCTCAAATTCTACACATGAACTCTGTAACTGTAGATGCCATGGGCTCCTCCTCCTCCACTAATGAAGGATCCTTGTCATCAGACCTTGTTTATAACCCACATCAAAGACTGTACCACATTCAAATTACATCACTACAAGCTAAAGGGCAAGTATATGCATTATCTTTTACACCAACACGGTCCAAACTATGAAAGGAAAAGACCTGTATTCAAGCTAATCCATCACCTGTCTTCTCAGGTTCACTGCTTTACATGTGACTGAGCAACAGAAAATTACCCCAGTCCCGCAGTGTCAGGACCAGAGGGTATGCGTGTAGAGAAGACCATGTACCAGCCGGGCGCGGTGGCTCAAGCCTGTAATCCCAGCACTTTGGGAGGCCGAGACGGGCGGATCACGAGGTCAGGAGATCAAGACCATCCTGGCTAACAAGGTGAAACCCCATCTCAACTAAAAAAATACAAAAAATAACTAGCCGGGCGAGGTGGCGGGCGCCTGTAGTCCCAGCTACTCGGGAGGCTGAGGCAGGAGAATGGCGTAAACCTGGGAGGCGGAGCTTGCAGTGAGCTGAGATCCGGCCACTGCATCCCAGCCTGGGCGACAGAGCGAGACTCCCTCTCAAAAAAAAAAAAAAAAAAAAAAGAGAAGACCATGTACCTGCACGGTTGGGCTGAGCACTATAGAAATGTTCTGTATATTCATTTTTGTTTCCAGTTCCTTTGCGATGACATGGTCCATGTGCACAATGAGCCAAGAAATCAGAAGATAGTTACATTCTGGCAGTTCTTTGAGTAAACGCTGGAATTCCTGCACTTTCTCAGTCTCCGTGGTCCTCCCACAAGCCTCTTCAAATCTGGGCATAAGCTCTTTGGTAAGCAAATTCTCTGGAAGGTCTCGCAAATACTGCTTCAGCAAACTGGCTACAGTGTTAGGCTCATATTCTTCCAAGTTTGTAGACTCCTCCCGGTCATAGGCTGCTTTTAGCTCATCCACCTTTGATTTAATTCCTTAAAACATTCAAATTCAGAAGAGAGAAGATACGGAGAAAAGAAAATCAAACATACAAGCTTTCTTTACCATTACACCCACCCTTGCTAGGCAGATCTGCAGATCTGAGAACAGCAACCTGACCAATAACAAACCTCTTGTTATGAAATATTTATCTGCCCAAAGGCCGTACAATTTCTCTGTAAACACCAACATGTAAGACTACACTGGCTGGGCACAGTGGGTCACACATGTAATCCCAGCACTTTGGAAGGCTGAGGCAGGCAGATCACTTGAGCCCAGGAGTTCGAGACTAGCTGGACAACATGGTCAAAACCCATCTCTACAAAAAATACAAAAATTAGCCATGCACGGTGGCGTGCACCTGTAGTCCAAGTTCTTTGGGAGGCTGAGTTGGGATGAACAATTGAGCCTGGGAGGTTGAGGCTGCAGTGAGCCATAATTGCACCACTGTATTCCAGCCTGGGCAACAGAGTAAGACACTGTCTCAAAAAATTAAAAAATTAATTAAAAATAGGCCAGGCGCTGTGGATCACACCTGTAATCCCAGCACTTTGGGAGGCCAAGGCAGGAGGATTACTTGAGGTCAGGAGTCCAAGACCAGCCTGGCTAACATGGTGAAACCCTGTCTCTACTAAAAATATAAAAATTAGCCAGGCGTGGTGGTGGGTGCCTGTAGTCCCAGCTACTTGGGAGGCTGAGGCAGGAGAATCACTTGAACCTGGGAGGCAGAGGTTGCAGTGAGCCGAGATCACGCCACTGCACTCCAGTTTGGGTGGCAGAGCAAGACTCTACCTAAAAAAAAAAAAAAAAAAAAAAAGAAACCCAAAAAAACAAAAAACTAACTTCAAAAGTGAATTTAACCAAAAGTAAAATGATAATTGAAAAGCTCAACAGTCAGAACAAAAGTCAAAGCAACCACGGATATATTAAGCAAATATGCCCATCAATTCAGGAATTTGTTTTCAACGTAAAAACATCACATGGTGGCTCACACTTGTAATCCCAGCACTTTGGGAGGCAGAGGCAGGTGGATCACCTGAGGTAGGGAGTTCAAGACCAGCCTGGCCAACATGGTGAAACCCCGTCTCTACTAAAAATACAAAAATTAGCCAGGCGTGGTGGCGGGTGCCTGTACTCCCAGCTACTCAGGAGGCTGAGGCAGGAGAATTGCTTGAACCCAGGAGGTGGAGGTTGCAGTGAGCTGAGATCACACTACTGTATTCCAGCCTGGGCGAAAAGCCTCTGTCTCAAGGGAAAAAAATTTTAAAAAGGTAAAAAGTCAGACAAAAATTAAACTACATTCCAAGTGTAAGTCCTGCTCTACATAGGCAGCCAACTGCTTTTTCTAACAATTCACAAGCCTGACAACAAAAACTGCAGCTTAGCATACCTAAATATGTTCCAAAAAGTTGTGGGTAAATTACTTTTTTATGTGTAAATATTGTACTATAACTGCAAAGGGTGAATTAGCTACCCAAAAAACCACTTTGAAAATATTCTCCATTAAATAATCCCCAACTAATTTCTACTTTAAAGTTTGGATTCTTTAAGTATAACCTTAATCTGAACAGAGCTGGAACAAAAAAAGGTTTGGGTTGCTAAGATCAAATTGTTTTGCTTATTGAACAAAAGGAAACTAAAGCAAACGATTTTCAAACATTACATGAGATTTTAAGTCTTTAGTACGATCTGTATTAAGGGACGTAATTTAGTGACAGTGATTGCTCAGAAGAACACAAAGTAGTTTTTTGTTGTTTTTAATACTTAACACTTTCAGCCAATTATGTGAAACAAACTACAAATTAACGCTGACAGTTCCTATGGGTAAATGCCGTCTAAGCTGGACAGCACTTGAGGGTGAATATGGTGCTTACATCTGGACTTTGGCATTCTTTATCCTTTGTGAAAATCTTTTAATGGCATTATGATAAATCTGTAACTTACCCAGTATTGACAAAATAAAATCAATAACAAAATACAAAAATAACACTATTATTTTTAGATAATCTTTATTTTGTGACAGAAAATTAGAAAATAACTCCCATTTTCTTACTTTTAATGACAATATGGGTAAACCATAAGTGATAATAACTGAAATTCTTGGCAAAGATTTTTTCTCTTCCTCATGTATATTTAATTCGCCCCCCTGCAGTACCTACCCAACAAACTGTACAAGTAGACAATTAGAATGTGTGTTTGGTTTGCCATTACTCCAAAACTGTTATCAAAATGTTTTTCTTTTAAAAATTGGACACTACAAATAAAGTGTTCCACAGAAAGACAGAAAGAGCATACGGGTACACTTTAATGCAAAAAATACAAGAAAATGTAGATGAATAAATTAAAATGTATAAAATCACTTAAATTGTCTTTCATATTCGTTTAAAATTAGATAAGCAAGAACTAAAACTTCCAGCAAAAGGTCTTAAAATGAATAAGTGAGAACTAACATCTCTAGCAAAAAGCAGTGTTATTAGCAGCACTGTCCATGACAGTAGTATAAGTTGGGCTGACTACAGCACTCTGCCACAGGTTAGAGAATAAACCCAGAACTCAACAGAGCAGGAGCTCAGCCCCCAGCTGTTGCAATATGGGCAGCAGCTCAATCTGAATGCTTTACACACAGAGAAGAGGAGTTCTATGACTGAATTTCCAAAAAAATGCAGACATTAAAAGTAGGTCAGAGACAAAAAGAATCCTTTGAACAAAGCTGTAGAAAATTTTCAGAGAAACTTTTACCTAAAACAAAACTAATTCATGGCTACTAAGACCATGTGAGAGAAGCAACTTACATTATTAATGTTTAAATGTTTAAAGAATCAATTCGGTATATTATTCTTTTTTTTTTTTTTTGAGATGGAGTCTTGCTCTGTCTCCAGGCTAGAGTGCAGTGCCATGATCTTGGCTCATTGTAACCTCCACCTCTTGGGTTCAAGCTATTCCCCTGCCTCAGCCTCCCAAGTAGCTGGGACTACAGGCGCACGCCCCCACGCCTGGCTAATTTTTTGTATTTTAGTAGAGACAGGGTTTCACCATGTTGGCCAGGATGGTCTCAATCTCCTGACCTCACAATCTGCCTGCCTCAGCTTCCCAAAGTGCCGGGATTACAGGCATGAGCTACTGCACCTAGCCAATTATTCTTAAAAATCAATTAGTTTAAATATGTTTATATAATACTAAGGAGTTATAAACTCAAATTCAATGCCTAATTTTTTTCATTTTCTATAAAAAAATAACATTTTAGTCAAAATATTCTTAAACAATGGCATGTAATCTAGTGGATTATGTAACGGTTTTCCCAATTATCAAAAATATCTGCCCAAGGCCGGGCGCGGTGGCTCACGCCTGTAATCCCAGCACTTTGGGAGGCCGAGACGGGCGGATCACGAGGTCAGGAGATCGAGACTATCCTGGCTAACACGGTGAAACCCCGTCTCTACTAAAAAAAAAAAAAAAATACAAAAATTAGCCGGGCGCGGTGGTGGGCGCCTGTAGTCCCAGCTATATGGGAGACTGAGGCAGGAGAATGGCTTGAACCTGGGAGGCGGAGCTTTCAGTGAGTGGAGATGGCGCCACTGCACTCCAGCCTGGGCGACAGAGAGAGACTCCGTCTCACAAAAAAAACAAAAAAAAAAAAAACTGCCCTTTCTCAGCAAAACTTAAATATCAAATCTACCTTCTAGAATTGCATATGAACCAATTAAATGAAAAAACTAAGTTTAATCTATCTATTCTACATGTGTATGACTTAACAACTCATCATGAAAATACATGTGACCAACAAGTATTATTATTATTTTTGAGACAAGGTCTCACTCTCGCCCTGGCTGGAGTGCAGTGGTACGACCATGGCTCACTGCAGCCTCAAACTCCTGGGCTCAAGTGATCCTCCTGCCTCAGTCAACAATTAATTTTATAAAATAAATCTCTAAACAGAAACTGGTGATGTACCAAGAAACTGAATAATGGCAATGTAATAATTTGGAACACAGATGCTGCTACAGGTCAGGGCTTTCATCCTATCACACTGCTTTGTAAGAAATCTTTTTTACTTTTAAAACTATACATATTGCTTGATTTAGATACCCAATCAAAACACACTCTTGCCAAATATGAAATTTAATTTGTATACATGTGGAATAAAGATAAATAGAAAATCAGTGATGCTAATATATGTAATAGTCGCATGTAGCTGACCAAAGCATTCACATATAGGGCCTAAACACTGACCACGTCTTGGTCTTTTAGCTAAAGTCAGGTGTAGTATCTGTTCCAAGATTTCTGGAGCAGGGAGACGGAACAGAAGCTCGCTTGGACCACTCCATGTATTGACCGGGTATTGCAGTACCTCTATGAACCGTGCACCAAGAAAACAAAAACCAAAACCATTTCACACCTCTTAGCTGAGCTAAGGAAATGCATTATATGACTGTGTCCATAAACGTGACTCTTGGCCAAGAAGATTCCTTCACAGTGTTAACTTTCCTTTTCTTGCTGATGACCCTTGTATCACTGAGCCTCTGCTTACAGAGGAAAGAGGAAAAAAAAAAAAAAAAGCAGGCGCCTGGGAGTGGTGGCTCACACCTATAATCCCAGCACTTTGGGAGGCCAAGGAGGGCAGATCATCTGCGGTCAGGGATTTAAGACCAGCCTGGCCAATATGGTGAAACCTTGTCTCTACTAAAAATACAAAAATTAGCTGGGTGTGGTGGTGCATGCCTATAATCCCAGCTACTCGGGAGGCTGAGGCAGGAGAATCACTTGAACCCAGGAGGCGGAGGTTGCAGTGAGCTGAGATCATGCCACTGCACTCCAGCCTGGGCGACAGAGCGAGATTCTGTCTCGAAAACACAAACAAACAAAAGAAAAAGAAAAAAAAGAGTCTGAATGCAGCCCTGTTAAGCAATGCTACCAGTACACTTCACTTCGCTTTACTCCTGGCTGCTGCGAGCTACGAACAACTAACGTGACATCCTCCTAATGGAAGGAAACATAAAAAACCAAATGCTGGAACACCAAAGAAAGGCTGGGGAGAGGGGTGGATTTCTGTGCAACTGGGAGGATCGAGGAAATGAATAAAGCTTAGGATCCAGGCCAAATTGTCCTCACAATATTTTTTCTTCCTTTGAAAAATGAAAGTGAAGTTAATTATTAAAAACCACCAAGTGAAGTGCACATTCCCAGTACCTGATACTCTGTAGATGCCTTCACACTTCATGCCATACTTCTCTACGTAATCTATACATTCACGGAAAACGGCTGGCAGCCGAATGCCATCATACATCATGGTCCTCTCTACTGCATCAGCCAAAGGAATTCCAAAAATGGGTTTGAGATTTGGAACATCAATCTGAGGCACCTCTGGCTCCTGAATTGGCTTTTTCTTTTTCTTCTTTTCCTTCCACTGTTTAACAACATCAGCTGCTGTCAAGTCTTTTGACTTCTTCTCTTTATGTTTTTCTTCTTTGTGCTTTTCTTCTTTATGCTTTTCTTCTTTGGGTTTCTCTTTTATTTTAAAATCCTTTTCCTTCTTTTTAGAAAAGCTGGGCTTCTTGAAAACATGGATACCCTTGGACCTCTTCATTTTAGAAGGACTTTCTGCCTCATCTCCAGAGCTATCTTCCTGAAAGGCTGCATAGCCTTCAGCTGCCAAAGACACGGAGACAGTGTAAGTTATATGTTTGTTTAATGTCAAACTGTCCATATACTTGCTAAAAACAGAACCAAAAAACGGTGCCGCCTGGCACCAGCTATCTAGCTTTTCACTTCTTGGCCAATTCCTCCTGGGCACTTCCCAGCAAAGAAATGGGTTTCTTCTTAGTGAAAATGATGTTGCAGTGACATCTCTTGACCACAAGAGGGGGGACAAAGAGATAGAAGTTATCCTTACAGTATTAGGAGGGGAAATAGGTTTTATATGTGTGTGTAAGTAGAATTCTGGCAAACCAAACATCAGAGATACACCTGAAAGGCTCTACATAGAGGGCTAATGGAATGAATCCTTTTCTAAAATACAGTGAGAATGCTTTCGTCATGTGAGTCATGTCCTCTAACATCCTACAGGTTGAGTATTCCTTATCTGAAATACTTGAGACCAGAAGTGTTTCAAATTTCAGATTTTTCTGGATATTTGCATTATACCAGTTCAGCATCTCTAACCCAGAAATCTGAAATCCAAAATGCTCCAATGAGCATTTCCTCTGAGTGTCGTGCCAGTGCTCAAAAGATTCAGATTTTGTAGCATTTTAGATTTTCGGAATAGGGATACTCAACCTGTGTTCACTCTACCTACTCTAGCTTTTCCAACTAAGTGGTGCCTGTCACTTTAGGCAATCTCAAAGCAGGACGAGCTTCACTCCTGTTGATGTGCTTCAGTTATTCCTCTATCACATTTCACTCTCCTGTCACCAGCCGCTAAGTTCTTTATGGAGACTGCAGCAGGAACTGCAGACTCATTGAAGTAGAGGATTGAACTGGGAAATTCCCTCATCTTTAGATGGTGGCCAAATTCCCTGCATCAGAAAGCTCTGGTTTTCACACACTGACAAATGTGCCCAATTGCTTTACCAACCATGTCACAGTTGTCATAGTTTGGTTTTGTTGTTTTTTTAATATCTGTAACTCTCCTAATTCTTTTCCTTAGCTAGCTACCTTGCAAGCTATTATATAAAAGATAACAGCTATTTCCTAAGTTACCCTCTAACTAAAATACCACGTACCCCACACCAACCAGAATGGCAAGAATCTTAAGGACAAAATACAAAGATGCTTTCGCAAGTGGAATGTTCATACATTGCTGGTGAGAAGGTAAACTGGTACAAGCATTCTGGGGAATTGTTTTGCAGGGATCTACTGAAGCTGAAATACACATGGCCTACAAAAGAGCAATTCCACTCCCAGGCACACACATAACAGAAATACAAAAACATGTACACCACAGAAGCACTATTCATAACAGTCAGAAACGGAAAACCACCCAAGCAAGCAGCAGCAGAACAGATTAATAACTCTAACACATAATGCAATGGAACAATGTCTAGTGCAAAGATGAGCAAGTTACTGACACATGGAATAACATGAATTAATCTAACAAACATGTTAAGTTAAAGCTGCCTCCTCACGTATTTTAAGTTTGGCCTAAAGGTTTCTCCGTACATTATGAACTGTAACCTAACTGTGTAATCCTTCAAAAACAAATCAACTTAAAATATCATGAAGTCCAAAATAAGGAATACTTTTTTTTTTTTTTTTTTTTTTTTTGAGACGGAGTCTTGCTCTGTAGCCCGGGCTGGAGTGCAGTGGCCGGATCTCAGCTCACTGCAAGCTCCGCCTCCCGGGTTCACGCAATTCTCCTGCCTCAGCCTCCGAGGAATACTTAAAATAACTTACTTTATTTGCTTTTAACATACTAAAAAGCTATGCTCAAATGACTCATCCTCCCTACTGAATAGGCCCTCAAATAGAATGTATGATGGTATTTACTTAAGATAAGTAACTACTTTATTGAAGGTTCCAATAAAGTGTACCCCAGACTGTAATCTACTCTTGTACCAATTACAGAGTTTCGGCCAATCACGGAGGCAACTGTTCAAACTGCTCAAATAAGGCCAATGCCATGCTATAACCAATCCGGCTGTTTATGCACCTCACTTCTGTTTCCTGTGTGTCACTTTACATTTTCTGTCCATAAATGTGACCCTGTGGCAGCACCAGTCACTCTAAACCTATTCTGCTTTAGGGGCTACTGGATTCCCTAATCGTTCTTTGCTCAATTAAACTCTGTTATACTGGCCAGGTGGGGTGGCTCATGCCTGTAATTCCAGCACTTTGGGAGGCTGAGGTGGGCGGATCACTTGAGGTCAAGAGTTTGAGACCAGCCTCGCTAACATGGTGAAACCCTGCCTCTACTAAAAATACAAAAATTAGCCAGGCATGGTGGCGGGTGCCTGTAATCCCAGCTACTTGGGAGGCTGAGGCAGAAGAATCACTTGAACCTGGGAGGCAGAGGTTGCAGTGACCTGTGATCGCACCACTGCACACTACAGCCTGAGCAACAGAGCAAGACTGTCTCAAAAAAAAAAAAAGAAATCCATTAAATTTAGTTTGTCTAAAGTTTTACTTTTAACATGTAATATTGGGCAAAAGAAACTAGATACAAATAGAAGTATACATAAGTTTAAAATCAGGAGCACCAATCAACAATAAAAGAAGTTTACTTATGGGAGGGGTAGGTGATTCCCTTTAAAGAGGCAACAAAAAAAATTGATAATGCTCTATTTCCAGATCCTTGCAGTGGTTACACAAGCATATCCACTCATCAAGTTGTATATAATTTGTGTGCTCTGTGTAATCCTTCAAAAACAAATCAATTTAAAATATCATGAAGTCCAAAATAAGGAATACTTAAAATAACTCACTTTATTTGCTTTTAACATACTAAAAAGTTACGCTCAAATGACTCATCCTCCCTACTGAATAGGCCCTCAAATGGAATGCATCATGGTATTTGCTTAAGATAAATAACTACTTTAATGAAGGTTCCAATAAAGTGTACCCCAAATAGCGGACATGACCGACCCAAGAAAAGTAAGATGCTTTAAGGGCAAAATTCCAGTATCTATCTGTTTTGGGGGGGGCCTTCGGCGGGGGAGAGGACAGAGTCTCACTCTGTCACCCAGGCTGGACTACAGTGGTGCAAGCATAGCTCACTGCAGCCTTGACCTCCCAGCCTCCTAAGTAGCTGTGACTACAGGCACACACCACCATGCTCAGCTAATTGTTTAAATTTTTGGTAGAGAGGGGTGTGGCTTTGTTTCTCAGGCTCTTGAACTTCTGACTTCAAGCAATCCTCCCATCTCAGCCTCCCCAAGTGCTGGGATTATAGGCGTCAGCCACTGTGCCCAGCTCAATATCTACTTTCTAGACATTATTTTGAATTATTACTTCAGGAAATATCCAGTAGAAAACTTTGCCATTTCTGGAAACTCAGTATTTTTATTTGTGAGATTAAGTCCCCAAAATACAATTCTAATATACAAAAACTGAGACCCTGAAAAATAAAGAACAGAAAAATCAAACAAGAGTCTCTGCCTTGACATGCTTGCAGAAGACAGCTGGTACATGTAATTAGAGTGGAAGTTTATTTAAAATATATCTAAGCCAGGCACGGTGGCTCACGCCTGTAATCCCAGCACTTTGGGAGGCCAAGGTGGGTGGATCACTTAAGGTCAGGAGTTCAAGACCAGTCTGGCCAACATGGCAAAATCCTCTCTACTAAAAACACAAAACTTAGCTGGGCATGGTGGCGCACGCCTGTAGTCCCAGCTACTCCGGAGACTAAGACATGCGAATTGCTTGAACTGGGAGGCGGAGGTTGCAGTGAGCTGACATTGTGCCGCTGCACTCCAACCTGGGCAACAGAGCAAGACTCTGTCTCAAAAAATAATAGTACAATAAAATAAAATAAAAATATCTAAAGCATAGGAAAAAATGGCACTTACTCCTCTTTTCCTTTTTCTTAAATTTCCCTTTTTTCTTCCCATGATCTTTCTCATCATCAGACACTATATCAGGAGGCTCATGGAGGATGTCGTGGGGAGGTGAAGGCTCGCCAGTGCGGTACAGTCCAGGAAACTTAGTAGGGCTGATCTCTTCAGAGCTGGGGGTCCGGGTAAGCCCGCTGCCATGCTCCACCCTGCGGTGTTCACTGGGGCTGCTGGTGGGGGGCAGGAAGCACTCGGTCATGCTGATGCCCTGACTAGGAAGGGACGAGGTCTTCTCTGTTACCTATCCATTACACCTGCACCAAGAGAAAAACATGAGCAGAGTCACCTCACACCAGGGAACAAAAACACCACAAATACACAGCACAGCATTTACAAATCAAAAGTATTTTCTTCACAACCCCCTTGTAAAATAATGAAAATCAGAGGTAGAGTTCCCAAAGTCCTTTAAAGGAATACGGAATTCCTTAAAAAAAAAAAAAAAGAAAAGAAAAAAAACCTCATCATTCTAAAGTACTTCATTTTGACTGCTACCCAACATAAAATCTTAGTATTTTACTTTAGGACTAAACAACTATAAATAAGTTACAAAGATATCTTTATACACGTGAACAGTTCACATCGTAATTAAATTTTATAATTAAAGTTATATATTTAATGATTCACATAATTACAGACCACTATGATTCTATGATGCATGCAATTATATATACAGCTCATGTATCAATAATAACTATATTTCTGTACTGCAGTTATGCTAAAAGAAATGAAGGAACCCTCATTTAGTCAATCCTAAAATACATGCAAAATAGTTTTACTACAACAGATGCTACAAAGGGCAAATGTAAGAGGAGTTCAAAATTTGTTTGCACTTTTTCCCTTCTTTAGATGGTAGGTACATAGTCAAAGTACTGCGTTTAAAAGTTACTTGGATTAATTCTTATTCCTCTTTAATGTCATTATGACATTCATTTGAAATACTATCAGAATCACTTTTTCTCTTTGCGCTCACTTTATTTATTTATTTTTTGAGATGGAGTTTGAAGTTTCGCTCTTGTTGCCCAGGCTGGAATGCAATGGCGCGATCTTGGCTCACTGCAACCTCCACCTTCCAGGTTCAAGTGGTTCTCCTGCCTCAGCCTC